TTTTTTAATTTTATATAATGTAAAATTAAATTCATACCCTCATTCATAATCGATTTTACAAAATCTGTTGTCAGCAGTGGATTATTTGTCATATACAATCGTGAACAAGCTGCCTTGGACTCATCGTAGCTATATTTTATTTTTACATGCACAAAATATAATAGATATATTCGATGTCCATCACGTGAGGCAGTTTCGTCGACAAAATAAAATTGATCTCCGTATCGAGCAGTGGTTAGGTTGATAAGCAAAAGGCAAACTGCAAAGACTCTCCACAGTGATTTCATGTCTATCACTGGCATTATTATCGTATTAAATAGAGACGATTGTTTGTGGTATGTTTATATTGTGAATCATAAAATAAGCAATAAATATATTTCTCGCCACATTTGTGGTCAAGGGTACTTTTGTGCTCTCTTAATTTTTATTGGGGTGATTTTTATTATTTATATTAATAAATGTAAAAGGATTTCTGAAATTTAAACTGTATATATTGCAAGATACGTTGTTAACATAAACCAGTAAGGAAAGTAGTAAAGTCAGACTGGGCCGACTATATGATACCCTTCATCACTTTGGGTATATTCTACATATGTATCCTAACAGACGACACGTTTTTGTTATATATCTGAACCGATTTTGGGGAAACTTGCCAGAGACTAATTTATATTACATCAGTACGTTGTGTCAATCGGCCTAGCTATGGATCTTTTCACGAAGCTTAGCAACAACATTTTAGACTAAATTCAGTGAACTATACCAAAATTCTTGCAAATCGAAAGGTATATAGGGACTTTGGTGCACCAGTTACATAACATCGGACGAAAATATATATGGGAGCTATATCTAAATCTGAACCGATGTTCACGAAACTTTGCATACATAATTCTAGACTTAATTCAGTACGCTATGCCAAAATTCGTGCAAATTAAAAGATTTCCAGGGACTTTAGTGCACCAATTACCTAAAATCGGGCGAAACTATATATGGGAGCTATATCTAAATCGGAACCGATAGTCACGAAACTTTGCACACATCATTATAGACTTAATTTAGTACGCTGTGCCAATTTTCGTGCAAATCGAAAGATATATAGGTACTTTGGTACACACTTTACCTTAAATCGGACAAAGATATATATGGGAGCTATATCTAAATCTGAACCGATTTTCACGAAACTTGGCAGACATCATTCTAGACCTTATTTATTACGCTGTGCTAAATTTCGTGCAAATCAAAAGATTTTCACGAACTTTCGTGGACTATTTATCTAAAATCGGGCGAAGTTATATATGGGTGCTATATCTAAATCTGAACCGATTTTCACGAAACTTTGCACACATCATTCTAGACCTTATTCATTACGCTGTGCCAAATTTCGTGCAAATCGAAAGATATATAGGAACTTTGGTGCACCATTTACCTTAAATCGGACGAAAATATATATGGGAGCTATATCTAAATCTGAACCGATTTTTCCCAATTTCAATAGGGTTCGTCCTTGGGCCAAACAAGTGAGCTGTGCCAAATTTCATCCAATTCGGATCATAAATGCGACCTGTACTTTGTTTACAATTTAACACCAACAGACGGATAGACGGACATGCATAAATCGACTCAGAAAGTGATTCTATGCATATTCCCAAAAGGAACCATGGTCAATCTCGATTATTTTTGCATGTTACAAACATATGCACAAAGACATAATACCCTGTACCACAGTGTGGTGAAGGGTATAAAAACACAACCATAATTACCACTATCAATATACGTAATTTGTAAAAAATTGCAATAATCTCCAAAATAAATATCAAATTTTTCTTTTAACATTACAGCGTTCAAGAAACCGATGGCTCCTATTTTGAAAATTTCACATCGCTGGGATGGAAACGGGAAAACCGCCGTATGTCGGCAACGCGTGCCGCTGAGGCACGTGCCGAATCACTTCATGAGCAGGAACGTGAGCCGCCAAAAATTGCTGAAGATTCTATCGAAAGTCAAGAGCAAAAAGAAAAGCTATATTTGGAAGTATTGAATACCATTGCCAATACTGTGGGTGCATCAGCACCCGGTGGACAGGTAAGAAGCAATAACGAAAAACGACAAAGAAAACATCCGAGTTAATTCGAAAAGAAAACAGCTTATAACATTATTAAAAGTAAACATTATTATGGCTGCCATCAAGGTAAACTGATAAGGTTATATATGAAATGGTGGTAATGTGTGTGTGCGTGCGTGTGTGTGTGTTGTTCAATGGCAAGCAAAAGAAGAATATGATAGTGTAATGCCATAACCACATCCTTGGGCTGCCAATTTCATTCCCCGCCCTTCTTTCTTCGCTTCACCTTGAAATGGAAACTAATTATTACTATTATATTATTTTTACTTTTCTTGTCTTTAAAAGGAAACAGCATCTCCACCCGACCAACAGCCACCCACCACTTACCCCATTGACAGTTTGTAATACAGATGTGTATCTAAGGAAAAATACTTTTCCATTTATATATAGACATTTCCATTATGTACATTCTCATTCCTGGTTAAATTTCATTGTTATATAACTCTAAATTACAAGAACAGAAGATTGATTTTGTTGCCAAAGCGATGATGATTTAGAAATAATTGAGAGAAGAAGTGGTTTAGAAAAGAGAGAGAAGGGGGAGAGAGAGAGCTAGGTAACAATGCCAAAATTACCAATTTATTGAAAATAATTAATTGGCTTTTCTTTCATAATAGTAACTTGTGAAATCAATATTGGTTTTCATTTCTCATTTGGAAATGGAAATAATTTCAAAACAACCACAAGAAGAACACGGTTCTAATTAGGACGGATTAGCACATGGAAAAAATGTATATTGTATCAAATTGGTTTTTATAATGTCTTTACGTTTTTAGATACTACGGTCCTTAATTTAGATTCTCTGAAATTTTGGTTTGGATTGGCCGATGCCAAACCAAAGTTATAAGCAAAAATGTACTTAGCATGGCACGTAAGATTTAAGAATCTTCCATACTTTGAGAGCTTCTGCTGAAAAACTCACTTTTCAGACTTAGCATACTATTCTTCGAAGGCGTCGATGTGTCAAATAAGTTTTTATAATGTATCAAATAAGTTTTGTAGTAGTATAGTAATTTGGTTGGATAACGGTATCGAACATCGAACAACCTTTTGGAAGCCGTTATAATATTATTTGTAACCAGCTGGACTGACAGGTATTGTTTGGCCCATTATTAAATCCCCGTCGGAATGCCAATTTGTACTCTCCCCACTGTAAGCCTTCTCTTCGAATATATTCAATAGAAGTCCATAATTTGACATAACCCCTATAAGAGATTTATCCCATTTTTTATGGTCCTAGTATAATTATACCCTTCACCACACTGTGGTACAGGGTATTATGTCTTTGTGCATATGTTTGTAACAGGCAAAAATAATCGAGATAGACCCATGTTTCCTTTTGAGAATATGCATAGAATCACTTTCTGAGTCGATTTATGCATGTCCGTCTGTCCGTCCGTCCGCCTGTCCATGTATTTTTGTTAACAAAGTACAGGTCGCATTTATGATCCGATATGGATGAAATTTGGCACAGGTCACTTAATTGGCCCAAGGACGAACCCTATTGAAATTGGAGAAAATCGGCCCACGTTTAGGCATAGCTCCCATATAAGGGTACACCCAAATTTTCGGTATTTTGAGGTTCTTGAACGCGTTTTTTAACTGAATTCGCTGAAATTTGGTACTTTGAGTTCTTATTGGGTAGCAAATCTCCCTACCAAAAATTATAAATAAAGGTCCATTTTTTCGGATAGCCCCCATATAAGATTACCCCCAATTTTCGGTATTTTGGGGGTTTTGATCGCATTTTTCGACCGAATTCGCTGAAATTCGGTACTTTGTGTTCTTATTCCGTAGCAAATCTCCCTACCAAACATTATAAATAAAGGTCAATTTTTTCGGAAAGCCTCCATATAAGGGTTGTTGTACATTGGTTTCCTATTGGGTACCAAATTACTCCACTAAAAATTATAAATATAGGTCCAGTTCTTCTGGTAGTCCCCATACAATTTTGGTACATTGAAAACGTTTACCTTGTTATGTTATTCACTTGCAACAGATCATTCCATTTTGCACCTCCTCCAAATATGTCCGTCTGAAGAAATCACAATAAAGCTCGCAATATTTAAGATAGATCGTTGATCTTTAGCATATACATTGTTATGACTCCTAGGATGTTTGGTATTGAAAATGGGATGTACAGTGGCTCCATTGAATAATCGGACAAGTGGTTGTCACATATAATAATGCTATACATTTTAAAAAAATTGTCTAAATGTGTAGTTTTTTCGCTTTTATTTACACATTACTTACTTATATTTCTGAACAATACAAAAAACAACAACTTTTCTTGTGATAACAGTAAATTTCGTCAGAAAAACAAAATTAACTCAATTTATTGTGTTCAACGCAAAATCGGACAAAGCAAAGTATCAATGTTAAAAAATGAAAAAATCGAGAAATTAATATTTAGTTGCATATCCTTTGTTGTCCAGAACGGTCTGTAAACGCTTCGGTATTGATTTGACCAAATTCTGGCGTACCTCCGGCTCTATGGAGTTCCACGATTCCAGTAAAGCCACCTTAAGCTGTACTAAGGAGTTAAATTTTTTCCATACACTCTCCTAGCTAATTCTTCCCAAAGATGCTCAATTACGTTAAGGTCTGGGCTCTGTGCTGGTGTTTGTATAAGTTTTGGGCAGTTATGGATCAACCAAAGCTTTGCAACACCTGATGTGTGCTTGGGATCGTTGTCTTGATAAAAGGCAAAGTTGTTCGCGATACCCAATTTGTCTGCACTTTGCTTTACATTTTGCTTTAAAGTGTTGAGGTAGACAAAATTGTCCATTTTACCGTCAATAAAATGCAAATTGCCTACTCCCGCACTCGACATGCAGCCCCAAACCATAACAGAACCTCCTCCGTGCTTAACAGTGGCTTTTGTATTCTTATGATTAAATTCAGCATTTGGCTTACGCCACACATACATCTTTCCATCTGACCCGTGCAAGTTAAATTTGCTTTCGTCAGTAAACAGAACCTTAATATAATGAAAACTATCAATAGAAATGTATTTTAAGATGATCTTTCATCAAATTACCTGCTTCCAAAAATCTTCTGGTTTTAGTAAATACTCATTTTGTCCGATTATGCGATGGAGCCACTGTATATGTTTACGTTTTGGTATAACCTCAGAATAACGATACACCCAAATATTAAGTATTTTTGGATTTTTGGCACATTTTTCAACCGACTGGCTGAAAATTCCCCTTCCTTCAATGATCGAATTCGGCTCATTTTTTTGATAGCTCCCATATGTCAATTAAGGTTCTCAGAGGAGGAGATTTCAATGTAGACCCTACACAACTATGTTGTCAAGGTATTATAGCTTTGTGCAGCCCCAATAGAATTATTTATATTTTGGAGATGACATGGACCAACAACATAATTTTTGTCTGTTTTTCCGGTCGCTCTGTAGGCCACTTACTTAGAACGGCTGTTCAGATGATTATCGGCCAATATTCTGGAGGTCAAATGAACCAAAACCTAAACTACCCAAATTTTTATTTTAAGGTATAAATATTCAACTCGAAAAATATACCAGTGTTAGAAAATGGAGCTGTTGACCTGTAATCGATCAAGAGGGTGCAAATATCGCTAAATATTAACCAGGCTCATAATAGAACATGTTTCGAATGTCCAATTTTAGCCAAATATGCACCGTTTTGTTGTATGATTTATTGCCATTTTTAAAGGCATTTCTCGAATAGGTAGGCCGGACGACGAAAGTCCGGCATACCTATGCGAGATGTATTTTAAACATCAAAAATTCGTGAACGGAATCTTCGAAACCAAAATTGCACATAATAGACTGTTAAAGTATCGGAACCATAAACACCATTCACAATTTTAGCCGCTTGGCTTGCATTTTCGCAAATGATCGATACTTTACGAGAAATCTATTAGTGCAGCCATCTGCCAAAAAATAATCGATTTATATTTCCACAAACAAATATATTCCCAACATATGAGACGTCAAACTTATTTTAAAGATTCTGGCTGAATTTTCCTACCAAATTTTCTTTGTGTTTCGGATTTTTTTAGAGTACGACGAGTCTTCTCCCTGAATATTTTATATAGGTCCTCTTTTAACCTATGTGGATGTAATTAAGCCCTGTTTTAACTTAGGTATTTTTAAAGTATTTTAGAATTAAAGTTCTATTAAATTTAGTATTTTTTTATACCTTTCACCACACTGTGGTACAGGGTATTATGGCTCTGTGCATATGTTTGTAACAGGCAAAAATAATCGAGATAGACCCATGGTTCCTTTTGAGAATATGCATAGAATCACTTTCTGAGTCCATTATGCATGTCCGTCCGTTCGTCCGTCCGTCTGTCCGTCCATGTATTTTTGTTAACAAAGTAGAGGTCGCATTTATGATCCGATTTGGATGAAATTGGATTTGGATGAATCGGTCCACGTTTAGGCATAGCTCCCATATAAGGGTACCCCCCAATTTTCGGTATTTTGATGTTCTTTAGCGCGTTTTTTAACTGAATTCCCTGAAATTTGGTACTTTGAGTTCTTATTGGGTAGCAAATCTCTCCACTAAAAATTATAAATATGGGTCCATTTTTTCGGATAGCCTCCATATAAGGGTACCACCCATTTTGCGGTATTTTCGGGATTTTGATCGCATTTTTCGACTGAATTCTCTGAAATTTTGTACATTGGGTTCTTATTGTGTACCAAATAACTCCATTAAAAATTATAAATATAGATCCAGTTTTTCTGGTAGTCCCCATATAACGGTACCCCCAAATTGTTGGTATTTTGGGGGTTCTGATCGTATTTTTCGACCGAATTGACTGTAAGTTAGTACGCCGAGTTCTTATTAGGTAGCAAATCTCTCCATTATAAATTATAAATATAGGTCCATTTTTTCGGGTAGCCCCTATATAAGGGTACCCCCCCATTTTCGGTATTTTGGGGTTCTTGAACGCGTTTTTCAACCTTTGTAATTTGGTTTTTTGTAGTCGTATATGGTAACAAACCCCCCCTACCAAAAATTATTAATATTCGCCCCCTTTTAGGGGTAGTCTCCATATACCCCCCTTTTTATACCCTTCACCAGACTGAGGTACAGGGTATTGTGTCGTTGTGCATATGTTTGTAACAGGCAAAAATAATCGAGATAGACCCATCGTTTCTTTTGAGAATATGCATAGAATCACTCTCTGAGTCGATTTATGCATGTCCGTCTGTCCGTCCATGTATTTTTGTTAACAAAGTACAGGTTGAATTTATGATTCGATTTGGATGAAATTTGGCACAGGTCACTTAATTGGCCCAAGGACGAACCCTATAGGAGAAAATCGGTTCAATTTTGGATATAGCTCCCATATATATTTTCGTCTGATTTTAACTTATTGATGCATCAAACTACCAATTGTGGTCCGATTGAGACAAAATTTTGCACAGAGTATTGCATTAGGTCTAGATAGTTATATGCCAAGGTTTGTTGAAATCGCACCAAACCCCCAATAGTGGTCCGACTAAACAACATTTTGCACAGAGTACTGAATTAGGTTCCGACTGATGTATGAGAAATTTTGTTGGAATTGGTTCAGATTTGTATCTATATATGCTATATATAGTTTCGTCCGATTTTATGTAAATGGAGCAACATACTGCCAATATTTATCCGATTGAGACAAAATTTTTGCACAGCGTACTAAATTAGGTCATGATTGATGAATGTTAAAATCGGGTCAGATTTAGATATAGCTCCCATATATAGTATCGCCCGATTTAATGTAAATAGTTCACCAAACTTCCAATATTGGTACGATTGAAGCAAAATTTTGCACACCTACTAGATTAGGTTCCGACTGACAGATTTAGATATAGCTCCCATATATAGTTTCGTCCGATTTAAAAAAAAATGTGCACCAAACTCCCAATATTTGTCCGATTGAAGCAACATTTTGCACAGAGTACTGAATTAGGTCCCGACTGATGTATGCGAAATTTCTATATCTACAGAATATTGTAGATATTAATATTGTAGATATTAATATTGTAGATATTAATATGTCACTATGGGTACATGCATAGTGGTGAAGGGTATCATATAGTCGGCCCCGTCCAACTTTTGAACTTTCCTTACTTTTTTTTGTTTTTTTTTTTTTTTTTTTATACGAAGTTACAGAATGCGTTACTTGTATCAGTGCTACGCACCATCGGCTTACATACTACACTAGTTCCACCGATTTTAGTTAGACTACTGCATTTTCAAAATCTCTCCAGTACATCCTTGTAATCGTTTTCTTTTTATTTCTTCATCTATTCGTCATTTGTTAATTCGTCGTGTTACATAGTTATTTATTTCTACCTTCGTATTGGTACATTGAAGTTATAACGCACTTGTTGAACTATCTCCTCTTCCTCCTCTTCGTTTTCACAGATGGACGAGTCGACAACCACGTAAACTACCAAAAAAATCATTTATTTATATGCCTTTTTTTAATTTTCAGTTCACCCATTATAAAGATGAAATGTATTTGCATGCGCAACGGGCATTTGGCATGAGTCCAGATCGTCATTATCGACTGTTGCATGCCACGGCTGAGGATAAACCAAAAGTTATCGTCCTGTCGGTGGTGGTCATTGAGGCAGAAGGGCTCGAAGCCAAAGATGCAAATGGTAAGTATGAAAAAGAAAAAAAAAAAATGAAAACAATTCGAAAACAAATGAATTGGCTATTAAAGCAAACAATGTGTAAAATGAAAACATTGAATTACAATACGGAATTCATTGGTAATAAACCAGTAAAGCACAAGTGTAAAACACATGGGATTCTGTAACATCTGATTAATATGTCGATTCGAATCCATTGAATTACATGAAATATTGAACAATTATAGAAAAACTTTATTTCAATGTATTACGTAGTGGGAGAATTGAAACGAATACCATTCATCATAAGGTTGAGAGTATGCGAGGGCTGCTAGATTTATTTATAGGCTATTAATTAAAATGCATATATTTATCATTAAAAACAGCTTTATTGTTTCTCTAAACATTTTTTTATTCAATGTTTATACTTTTTTTAATGCAAACTTTTTTGTTTATACCACCAACAACCCGAATTTGTTAATAATTTGAATAACTGTCTGATATTTCCCAATTCATTTCCAAAAATATACATTTAGAAAACGAAGCAAATGTCGAGGTAGAAATAATCGGGTTTCTAAATGTTGAACAGTGGAATAAAACCGATAACAGTCTGGTTCCATAAATTTAGCGGGTTTGTTTATTTGTTTTCTAATGATATGCATATGAGCCGGGTCGAAATAATAATTTCCGATCCGATAAATACATATTCTTGATCAGCGTAAAATTCTATGACGATTTAAGGGAACCCCACCCATTCTCGATTTTAATTTTTCAAGATTTTCAATGGGCTGGTAAATCAATACCAATGCTTGTTAAGGTTTGTAACTTTGCACATATATATTTGAAGATTTAAAAGAGAAGAAAAATAATTTGCCAAAAATTTTTGTTATTGTTTTGTTGCTGTTTTTTGTAATTAAAGAAAGGTCCTTATTTTTGATGGCGGGCATGATAACTCCTCAATGGAACATCGGAATCCGAAAATTCCAACGGTGTTAGAAAGAGTACATGTCTGGCTCTCGTATGAACTAGGATTATTGACTGCGCTCTAAAATTAACAAAATGGCGCACCTTTGAAAAATTATTTTTGGAAAATCGCCGATTTTTGACCAAAAACCTAGTTAAAAAATAAGGAAGATCTTGACCGATTGGCTTTATCCTAGTTCATACGATAGTTATACACTCACAGAGAAACGTGTAAAAATTTGGAATCGATTGGGTTATTAGTCTTTGAGTTATCGTGCCCGCCATTCGCAAAAGAGAAAAACGCGTTTAAAGTTTGAGAAGCCCTTTAGTCGTCACTTGATGCTGACACAATAAATCGGCTATATTTTCAACAGTTCTTGAGATTTTCACTTTAAATGTTGTAGGGACATTCTTGAATTAGTGTAGATTCGAATTAAGGAACCCCCTCCATTCTCGATTTTTTATTTTTACGATTTTAAATGGGCTGGTAAATGAATACCAATGCTTGTTAAGATTTGTAACTTTGCACATATGTATTTGAAGATTTAAAAAGAAAGAAAAATCGCCTATTTTTGACCACAAAAAAAGTAAGGAAGATCTTCACCGATTGGCTTTATCCTAGTTCATACGAGAGCTATACACTCCCAAAGAAACGTGTCAAAATTTGGGACCGATTGGATTATTAGTTTTTGAGTTATCGTGCCCGCCATTCGCTTCGAGAAAAATGCGTTTAAAGTTTGAGAATCACTCTTGCCGTCCCTTGATGCTGACACAATAAATCGGCTATATCTTCAAGAGTTCTTGAGATGTTCACTTAAAATTTTGTAGGGACATTCTAGAATTAGAGTAGATTCGAATTAAATAAAAATTTTTTTTTGACACCGAGAATGGGGGGGGGTCCCCTTAAATCAAAAAAAAATGTTGACCCCGAGAATTTTTTTTAAGCATGTCCGACTGTTGTAATTACTCTAGACTCTAAACGAACTTGCATAGATTTGTCTTTTGTCTGCAGGGAGGTCAAGTTGGAAATTGAGTTGCACTGGTCCACGTTTAGGGTTCTTATTACTTATAACAATCCACACACCTGTCTTGGTAACCTATGTCAAATTCCATTTCATTAAAGGAAGGTTCACAATTTAATCTCAATTGGATACAAGGAATCGAGTTAAAAGAGTGCAATTTCCTACAAAAAATCTTCTTAAAAATACCCACAATAGCTACAAAACAATATAAGAAGCCAGCAAAAAAATCATAATTTCATATATCCGAACTTTGACCTGTGGCTAATTTTTCCTTTTGGGGGTTTCAAATACTAACCAAAATCTTTCATCCCCAATTTCAATTTCCACTCCCCCAAAATCTTCTCACACACTGACATTAATATGCTGTTTATTAATTATAATATAAACTGCATACCTTTCATGTATTGTAAATGATTTTGTTGTAACGAATGATTAATATCGCTATTATTCGTTAATCATACGTACCATTGAACAACATTTAATTCCCATTTCAATTCTTAAAGCCCAGACAATTTCAACACCTTTAGGCCACATTTATTGATTCATTTATATTTATAACCTGCTTGCATGCCGCCAGACATAATGGCTGTGCACGCCATGCGTGTATGGGTGTGCGTGCGTGTCCGTGCAACAATTTGCACAAATATCCGTTTTATGCCTTCGAACAAATTTCCATTGCGTGTTCGCCAATATTTAAGCGTGTCGGTTGTCTGTTGATTGTTTGCCAGTAGCAGCAACAAGACATACAACAACAACTATGCATGCACACACATACATGCATGTCTGCAAATTTCCATTCATAAAACAAAACGTTTAATTTGCTTTGGCTGGCTATTTGCCAACGGAGGCCAAAACTTATAAATGGCCCGATGTCAGGTTATACGCGAGTTAGCATAAAATTACGTTGCGACAATAACCACGCAAATTAACTTCATTGCTGTCAATTGCCATTACTTGTCATCTACTGTGTAAAATTTACGCTGTTAATTATGAAGCAGAACAGAAAAAAATGAAATAAAGTGTTAAATATTTCAATGATAACTTTACAAAAAGTCTATGGAAATTTACATGTTATTTAAATATAACTTCTTTTAAATTCTGTATTGTTTCGAAATAATTATTTCAGGGAGTATCAAACACTATATAAACCATTAAAACCGAACGCATACCTCCTTCTATCTTGAGTTCTTTTGCTCGTCTATATTTTCTTGAACCTTACACTAAATACCGCAAGACAAGGGATCGAAAAATTAGGTATGTGAATTCAACTTATCGCTCAACTCATTTGGTACCTCCTTCACAAAGGGCCAACATTTGTAAATCCCATAATTCAATTTGATCGAAAATTTGATCATTATACCATGTTTACCTTACACCGATCAAATTCCAAGGTGGGACCTACTTCTGGTCTTCTACTTCTAGTACATCTCCCGCAAAAGGTCATCATTTGGCAAATCTGTAAATTTGATCTGAAGCGAATTGAATAACCGATTTAATTCATAGCTTACACATCGTAAGCCTACTTTAAATACGAATATGGGGTCTATATGATAGGGGATAGGGCACCTCTTCACAGATGGTCAACTCTTTGCTAAAAACATATATATATGTATATAATTCCGTAGAACTCCATAAGCCATAGGTTGAGGGTCTGCAAAACCGACTGACAATTTTTTACTTGCAATAGAATGAGTTGTACAAACTACATTTTATTTAGAAAATACATTGGCAGACAGATAGACGAACGGATAAACAGAAATAAACACAGAGAGTAGAGTTGGGCAATCTAGTTCACGTAGCGGATTGATTTTCTCGTTCCTTTTTTAAAAAGGAACTAGTTCCTTAAAGTATTTCCTTCGCCCAATATAGCTCTTTTACACAACACAGTTCCTTTGATCTTTACAGTTCCTTTGCCCCAAATAGTTCCTTTGCTTCATACAGTTCCTTTGCTCTTTATATTTCCTTTGCTCTTTATAGTTCCTTTGTTCCATATAGTTCATTTGCTCTAAATAGTTACCTTGCTCCATATAGTTCCTTTACTCCATACAGTTCCTTTGCTCTTTATAGTTCCCTTGCTATTTATAGTTCCTTTGCTCCATATAGTTCCTTTGCCCAATATAGTTCCCTTACACCACACAGTTCCTTTGCTCTTTATATTTCCTTTGCTCTTTATAGTTCCTTTGTTCCATATAGTTCCTTTGATTTTTATAGTTCCTTTGCTCTAAATAGTTCCCTTGCTCCATATAGTTCCTTTGCTCTTTATAGTTCCTTTGCTCTTTATAGTTCCTTTGCTCCATATAGTTCCTTTGCTCTTTATAGTTCCTTTGCTCTTTATAGCTCCTTTGCTCCATATTTTTCCTTTACTCCATACAGTTCCTTTGCTCTTTATAGTTCCCTTGCTATTTATAGTTCCTTTGGTCCATATAGTTCCGACTCCTATATAGTTCCTTTGAATCTCTCTCTTTCATCTTTCTTTCTTTTCGCTCACATAGTTCCGTGTTGATTTTTTTAATAGATGATTGAAAATTGTGCAAAAATTTTAAAATGAACGAATGAAATATATGGAAATAAAAGAACGAGATCAAAAAAGAACGAAATCAGAGAAAATATAAAGAGATCTGAATAAAGGACGATACCAGAAAGGAATGAGATCAAAAAAGGAACGAGATCAGAAAAAGGAACTATATTAATTAAAGAATTGGAACTAGTTCCGATCGTTCCTTTCTCGGAATAGTTCCAATGAACTAGTTCGTTGCGGAACTACCCAACTCTAACAGAGTGTGATTTTATGTATATCATCATTATTTCATGTATATCATGAAATAAAAACTAAAAATTTCTTTTGTCGAAAATGGGCTTCAAAATAAATATTGCCTCTGATTTTGATAAACGTTTGGTAACACTGGCGATGATACCCGTATAGCGCCATCTATTGATTTGCATGTTTGGTTTTAGCCAAATCGTTTTTTCAGCTTACGTTTTTACACTGAATTTTGGAAAATATTAATATTATAGAATCGATTTATTTCAGCTACAAAAACGGCAAACCTATAAAAACACAGAACATTCTAATTTTCTGTTGATATTACATTCAGAACTATTTTTGAATTTTATTAATTTTTCTTACCCACGAGTGTATGTGTGGGTAGTTGCTTGCTCTCTCATGGGTCCTGAAGTATTTTCGTTTTTTGCGGGTTTCTTCTTTCCAGTTTAGTGCCACTGGTGCGAATATTGTTGTCAAGGATTCAGGTGTGGTTGTGGTGCAGGTACACTTAAAGGTTTTATATGTATTCGTGTAAATAGATCGGTATTTGTTCGTTTATTTCTTTATAGATGTGGTCTGCAAGTTTTCAACCCAATTTTTTCATAGGAAATACAAATTTTCCGTAAAATAAGGTAGATTTTACGAAAAATGACTAAAAATGTGTAATTAAGAAATTACTTTGCCAAAACCAATCGTGTCATTCAATAGCAGGGTGCGCAAAAATTCGCTCGTGAATCATTCAAAATACATTATTTTCGTTTTGTGCTCTTTTTAAGAATGAATTTATGGCGATAAATTCTTTACCAAACGAGCATTCGCCAAAGAATGTTCGCACACACATAACAAACGAGTGAGAGCACACAACAGCATTCGTTTGTTTCGTTTGGTGGTTGAAATTCTTTTTGACATTCTCTCACGAATGAAAACAAAAATTCCCGAATTCTCGAGAATGCTCAAAACGGCAACAACAGTAACAACAAATTTCGTGAAAGAAAACAACTACCGATCAGTCTCGTTTCAGCTGTTGGTGAAGGCGGTTGTGTTATCGCTTGTTTTCATGATATTCATCGTAGCAATGTATTATTGTAGACGAAGTTCTTCGAGAGAGCAAGAGTTACTCTCACACTGTGTCTGTGTGACCAAACAAATACATATGTATTTGTTGAGTTTTTCAAAAGAATATTCTTCAGCAAAGAATGCTCGCCAAAGAATGAATCGACGACGCTTGCAGCGAAATTTTATCGTTCGTGAATTTTTTATACAATGCGGAAATTAGCGAGAGAATTCAAATGCTAGTGCATTCATTCTAACTTTATCATTCGCGATACATTTAAAACATTCGAATTCTCGCCCATGAGCATTCGTGAGAAAGAGTGTATTTTAAGCATTCTTTGCACCCTGTTCAATAGATAGGCGCTATCCTGGTACCTTTGCCAGTCTTGCCAACTACGTGGTATTTGATGTTTTATTTAACTTTTCAAAATCAAAGCATACTTTTAGGCGTAAACGGTAATATGAATATGAAAAACTTCATAATTTTATATGCAACTTTATAACAATTTTTTTTAGAATTTTCAATGATAATACATGACATATGTAAAATATATCATATATATTTCAATCAAGTACGCATAATGTTTCTTGTTGAAATAATTATAACGTATGCTAGTGGAGGGCATATGTGGCTTCGAAATCCAACATATTATCATTCTTGTATCAAATTTAGATGAGTTCTTACGTAAGATTAGATAAAATATTATTGATTGGGTGATTCTATAAAATGATAAACATCACACCGAAAACCACTTATATTTTATAAAAAAAAATTAAAAAATTTTCTGACATGAATTTGGTCCGAAGAAGCAAATATTTCTATGAGGCACATTTTTGCCGTAGTAAAGTATATATAGCCATAAGGTTGAGGGTATAATAAGAATACGGAAATCCTATATTAACAACATGTTACTTGTTTGTACTTTTTAATATTTTTAACTCAAATTGGTTTTCTTTTCAAACACAACGAATTCAATATTTAAAATTATCACTGCCTTTAACCTTAATTAAAAATTCTTTCTCTATATCTTCCCCTTCCCCCTTCAAGGCTTCTCCGATCCATATTGTATGCTGGGCATTCAACCAGATGGTGGTCCACCCGTATCACCATTACCACTGCCACCAACACCACGAGCTCTATCAGCCGATATGAATGCATTCGATAATAATGCCGCCGATTCACCGCCCCACCGTAAGCATAGCTTTCGTTTGAGTTTCAAACGACGCGAAGGCAATCGTCGCGAGCAGCGTGATTCATTGGGTGGGCCGGTACCAGCAAAATTTATATGCGCCACATCAATAAAACCGCACACTCTGACGCCCAAATGGAATGAGAAATTTAAATTGTAAGTACAAAGAAGAAGAAATAACTACAGCATCAATAACAAAACAAGTCGAAACAACCACAACAAGAGAACAACATTTATCTCAAAAGCAATGTTTTGAGTATTTAAACACAATTGTAGAGAAATTTGATTTGCTTAAATTATTGTGATTCTTTATAACATACACTACACTGTAGTACAGATTATTATAATAGACTCATAGCTAATATTGAGGACACAAATCCAATGGATTATTCGATTTGATTCAAAACATTGCACATCCAAAACTTAATTCAATCCAAAGGTGGGGTATCCTTGGACAAATGACCTAGAATGAAATATTCAGAATAAACGCACGCGTTGACTCATCTTGAGTTCGCCTCCAATCCTCCATAGCATTTTAGTCCAACACTGTTTTCCTGCACGTGTATACGACACACACACACATACATCAGCATATCGTCACTATTACTTTTAATTGATTAAGTGTACGTCAGGAAGTCGGTTTGATGAAACAAAAGAAAATTAAATTTCTGGTTAAAAAGTTTCTTATATCATTTCCTTGTGGTATGCTCTGAGCTAAGAACATCGCAAAGCCAACAAAGTCATTTTAATGAAATAAAGTCAACATTTTGCCTGTGGTTAAGGAAATTAAATTAAGACGTGTCTGACGATGTTGTTCGTCATTTATGTTAGTTTTCCAATTTATTGCTTAAACGTGAAATGAAATGATATATATGTACGTAAAAAAACGATTTAGTTTTCTTGTAGTTTTAGAAACAAACACTAATATAGTTTTTATACCCTACACAACATTGTTGTCAGGGTAATATAGCTTTGTCCAGCCCCAAGAGTTTGTAACGCCGCGAAATATTGGTCCTAGACCCACCTTTAAGTATACCGATCATCATATCTCGACTAGCTGAGTCGATCTAGACATGTGTGTCCGTGCGTCTGTCCATTATAATTTGTAAACACGATACAGGTCACAGTTATTTACCAATCTTCACGAAAATTTTGCATGTAGGGTGGATTCTGGCCAATGAAGACCCCTATTGTTTTTGGAAAATATCGGTTAATATTGAGGGGATGAAATGGACCAAAAACTTTATTTTTGTCCGTTTTTCTGGATGATCCAGAGGCAGCATTTATGGCTCAAACACCGCGAAATTTTTGCATGGAGAAGAGGATCGGACCAAAGATTAAACATGACTGTAAAGATTAGTAAATATTTAGCGGGTCAAACGAACCCTGACTTTTGTGTGAAAAATTACAAAATTTGTAGTCTATAGCGTACATATATTTATCCTGGAGGGACAAGTTGATAGTATACCCAAGAGGAGTGGTTGACCTTTAAATTGACACCAATTATATTGTCGTATGCACTCAGATGTGGGAGTTACACTTAAATATTTACAGATGCTTACGTATTCAGATATTAATTAGTAACCCATGACCACACTGGAGGGCGGAAATATAGTGTTGCTCGCTTTGAAATATTCCATGAGGTTCCAGTTATGATCAAGGACAACGCCTATAATTTTCGGTATTGATCAAATAATGATATTGGAATGAAGTGGACCGAAAACTTATTTATTTTTTTTTCTTTCGAGTCGATCCGCAGGCCACAATTGAAAGCCGAAAATCACAAAAAAAACACGTTGGGAATCTGGACAAGTAATTAGAAGGACTGTATTGAATATTAGTAATATTTGTTAACCTCTAGTGGATCAAGAGGGCGCAAACATCGCTAAATGTTGCCCAAGCTCAGGATGTAGTACCACAGAAAGTTAGATGTCGGCCCCGTCCGACTATACTGCTCCGCTCACTAGTTTAAATAAAATTTAAATTTTATTGGAACATATTCCAAAAAAAATCCTATGAACACTTTAAATGTTCGAACGAGTCATCGAAAATTGGAATGAACAGATGGGCCATTAGAAACATTGTCTTTGATAGCCATAAGAAAATAAATGCCAAATAAATGCCTTAAGAAAATAAATAACTAAGTTCTATGCTGATTGAGAGAGTGCTCCCAATGTTTAAGATAGAGCTTTGATATATTTTGCAATACATTTTTAATACTCGTAGGAGATTCGGTATTGAAAATAGAATATAGTATCACGTATAAATCCCCTGGAAATCTTTTTACCCTGCCAGATATGGTCTGTATATTAAATTTGTCATTCTGTTTGCAACACCTCGAAATATTCACCTGAGGCCACATAAAATAAAATATACACAGAAAATTTGTGTAGCAAACATGTTCCGAATTTTGAAGCTTTTGGCAGCGTTTTTCAACCAAACCAGCTGTAATTTGGTATTTTGGTTTCTCACTGGATAGAACATTTTCCTACTTAATATTATCAATATTGATCCCCTTTTTGGTAGCTAAGTCACGTGTTTCAACCAAATATGCTGTAATTTTATATTTTAGATTCTCATTGCTTCAAAAATCTCACTACAAAAAAATTATCAATATTGGCCCAAGTTGCCTTGTAGTCCCTATGTAATGCTTCCACCATTATTCGGTATATTGGACACTTTTTAACCGAATGATTTTACGAAAAGGTCCACAAGGTCCATAGCACCGTCAAATGTCCTTTAGAATTTTCAATTTTCCAACCTGAGTGTCTGTAATTTCGAACATTATTTTTTCGGAATATGAACAGCCTACAACCACATAATACAATAACATAATCTCCATATAAAGATCCCAACCGATTCAAGGCATTTTGAATGTAGATTGTGGATTTGAATGTAGATTTTATCCCCTGATAAAACGTTGTGCCCGGACGAACTTAACTAGATTTTTATTTGTTACACTAACATGTGACCCTACTTCGTTAGCGAATGTGGGAAATATTTAAACATTTATTAACAAATTATTTTCATTTCAACACATTAGTCTCGACCTAAATTTAATTTGAGTACCAAATATCATGATTCGATCTCTAAAGGTTCACCCAAATACAAATCTTACCAAATTTTGTTTCATTAACACACATTATTTCCATAACTATCCACCTTAATCATACAACAAAATTTCCCACATACCCCGATTCTACGCCCCCACAATAATTTCAAATTTCAGGATTCCAACTCTATTGGTTCACCCACAATTCAGATTGTAAGGGAAAGGGGGACACCTTTGAACAGGTACCCCTATTAAATATTGTACATAGTAGTACCAATTTCCAAAACTTTCTTCTTAGCTCAAACCTACACCCCACAGTGTTTCTTAAATCCAAGTTTCAGGATTCCAACTCTACCGCTTCACCCACAATTCAAATTATACCAAATTTAGTACACAGTAGTAGGCATTTCCAAAACTTCCTACTTAACCCAAACCTTTACCCCATTGTAAACCTAAATCCAAGTTTCAGGATTCCAACTCTACCGCTTCACCCACAATTCAAATTATACCAAATTTAGTACACAGTAGTACCAATATCCAAAACATCCTACATACCCCAATCTTACACCCCCACAGTGATCCTAAATCTAAATTTCAGGATTCCAACTCTATCGCTTCATCCACAACTTAAATTGTACCAAATTTGGTACACATTAGTACAAATTTCCTAGATATCTCATGAAACTTCCTA